GCGATCAGAGTCACCGCACAAAAATGAAAAATAGAATAAATTAAAGAGCAACAGCATCGAATTTTGTGTAGTGATTTTGAATTATATATAGCTGAATCAAGACTAGTTTCGAGAACTATGAATTATATACTATGTAGTATCAAATGCAAATTTTCTTCTATTTAACTACTTATTCTTTTCTGCTTTTTTTTTTTTTTGCCCACTAAAAAATGTGAGCAAAAGGAATTAGAGAGGAGAATTACACCAAGCTGAGCAGCTATATATAGCAATCCCATGCATAATATATATAGATATTTTGTTCCTTACCGAATGAGGCAAATCTCCTCATCACGTACGTTATCATGAGCCTCTTTCTACACTTAGAAGTGTGAAAGACCATATTAATATGAGGCAAAGCTTTGAGCAAGTTGCCCCTAGAGCCCATAATTGCAAGACACACACACACAAGTCTCGTTCATTTCACCGATTCGAGTTTTACTACAGTAAAAAGCTCTTTGAACAGTCACATCTAACTTTTTTTCTACAGTAAAAAGTTCTCATATAAAGTCACATTTCAACTTGAATTAAAAACTCGAATCAACAAACTAAACAGATTAATAATAAAATTAAAGATTAGAAGCGCAGACCTAGAGAAACTTCTGGCACATATCTCTAGCTTTACTAGTACATTTCTGATATGAATCCCACTATAAAAATTCCCTAGATGGAATTTCTAGGAAAATATGTATCATGCCAAAAAAAATAAAATATCAAAAGTGAATATAAGAATCTTCACGAGGCATATTCCTATAGCTAGCAGTATTCTCTTTGTCAATCTGATTTATCACAAACTTGGTGCTAAAAGAAAATGTGTTTCCCATGTTAGGTATATTGGAGCACTAATACTAATACTACATAGATTGTTATATATATATATATATATATATATATCATGTCTTTTATATATGCTGCGCATTTACGAAAATGTGGAAAAGGGGGATATCCCATGCTTCATAGCAAAGAGACCACCAACAAAAGGCTTTTGTTTTCTACCTTGTTTGGTCTCCTTGAGCACTAACTAGTAATTAGCTACGAGACATACCAAATGGTCTTATGTGGAATAACATAACCAATAAATCCCTAGTTTGGTTGGTCAGCCACTTCTTTAGGCACCCCATTACTTACCTTATTGATTTGACACTTTTTTTTATTTTTTATTTTTGAGGTAATAAATTAGCATATTTGGGATATTAAGAGAGAAGAAGAGTACCCTTTAAAGTAAAAAAAAAAAAAAAAAAAAAAAAAAAAAAAAAAACCAAAAAAACATAAAAAAAAAAAAAAAAAAAAAAAAAAAAAAAACTCTAAAAAGCTTCCCATTATTAATCAACAAGATAAGGACCTATATATATGATTGCTTAAATCTACGCACTCTCCTTTTGAATTTCTTCTTCGTTATCTTAAACAATCATATCTCTGCACAGCTCCACTACCCATTTGGATTGTTCCTTCAACTGAAAATGACAAAACAACAATCACATTTATTTCACAAAAGTGAGATCCGCCGGCCGTGTAATAGACATTCATGAAAATGTGTGTGTTAATATTTTAATTGGTTAATTGCTGTAGAACAATAACCTCTTCCCCTCTCTTATAATATGATTTTCTTTCTCTTATACACATATACGTACCATGATAAGTTCTCAGCATATTTTATATTGACAACATGTAATGTGGGATTGATCATTAACGATGATAACTTCCAAAAAAACCTAAAACTATGTTCTTAGTGGACAAAAGAACCTTACCAATCACACACACACACACACACAATGACACTCTCACAGGTACAAGAGACTAGATTATTTGTCACCATTTCATGTACTTATTATTTTTATGTCCTACGATTAACTAGTGGACACGTATGTAGCAAGTAAAAGTTGGAAATTGGAAAGGGATATGAGTCTAATATGTGTGTTCTATATGTGTGTGTGTATATACATATATATATATACACACACACACACATATATATATATATATATATATATATATATTAGGGCAGTGTATATATTGTACTATTTGGTCATGAGAGAGACGTGTAATTTTTATCTTTGACTGCTTATCTTCTCCATCGAGGCAAAGCATCATCTTCTCCTTTTTCTCTTGCGCCTCGTCAGATTCTCACTCTGTTGTGCCATCCTCCACTCTTCACATATGCCCCTGAATTTTGTATATGTGACGATAAAACCACTCACACCCAATTACCACTTTTGACTAACTTATATATTTCAGTTTAATTTCAATGGGAATTATAGGGAGAAACTGAAAATTTTTCAACCAAAAAAAAAAAAAAAAAACAAACAAAAACAAAAAGTAGAAACTGAAAAAAATAATAATAATACACACTCTCTTTTGAATAACTTAAACGTTTCAGTTTAATCTTAACTGGAATAAGTTGAAACTGAAAAAAGCTTTATCATCATCATATAGTTTGTTATAACGACCTGTTTTTATGTGTAGTCCACATTGTCCGTTTAGTGAAACTTAATTAATGATTTTTCTATAAAATGCATTACACACAAGTTATCTCTCGGATTATTACATATAATTAAATGGCGCATAGTAAAGGTGCATTTTGTGTGGGACACATCTTAAGGGATTAAGTTCCTTCTGTTTCTGAATTGACATAAAAAAATTTTATCGTAGAAATGAAAACAGTATATATCATATTTTAAAAAGAAGTGTGCGCTTCCATTTCAAGAAAACAATTAGTGGTTTAGTTTGGTTGTACGGTACATTTTAGAAAAATTACTTTTAGCTGTACTGAAGGAAAAAGTAGCTGTTACAAAAAATAATTAAGTATTTAGTAAACTATAATTATAATAGTTGTGTTGGTTCCAAAATCAATGTAATAACGTTTGGTAAATTATAATGTTGAATTACTGTGGATAGTTAAAAATTACGACTATATTATATTGTACTATAATATAATATATATAATTACAATATAATTTATATTTATTATTATATTTAATATAATAAAAAAACTATTATTATATAATATGTTATATAATTATGATATAGAATATAATAATATTATTAAAATATTAACTGAAATAATTAAAAATAACGATTATAATATAATATAATATATATAACTACAATATAATGTATATTTATTATTATATTTAATATAATACAATAAAAGTATTATTAAATAACATATTATATAACTATGATATAATATAATAATATTATTAAAA